GTCCCCGCCGCCGCCCGCCCGGCCGCCCGCCCGCGGCCGCAGCTCCCAGACAATGGAGCGGGAGCTGGAGCAGCAGGGTGGGAGGGAGCGAGCGCGGCACATGGGCTGCCCCTCCGCCCCGCCGGGTCCTAGTGCCCTACGGATCCCCAAGCCCCGAGCGCCCCCGTGCACCAGGTCGGGGAGAAGGCCGCTTCCCTGGGGGACGGAGCCACAGGGGCTGACCCGCCGCTACCGAGAGGGACTCGAGGCGTTCGGGTCGCTCCCTCTCGGAAGCTCCTGCCCGTGGGGGAAACGGCCACTTCCTCTGCCTCACGCCCGCCCCACAAGCACCTCACCTGTAGAGGCATCCACACCTGAATCAGGAATTCAGGGATGTGCGGAACTGAGCTGCAAGGGTGGAAAGGGGGAGAGAGGGGCCAACAAGGCCCAGGTGACCATCACCTGGGCCTTCGCTGCTAGAGCCCTGGACCACTCCTGTGGAAGAAGTTCTCAGGGGCGGACAGCTGGAGTTTCCTGCCTAGCCCCAGCTCTGGGAGGGGTCTGTGGGCCTCAGGAAGGGCCAGGGCCCCTCTGCTCCTGAGGGAAGTCCTTCCTCCCAGGTCCTGGCCTCCTGGCCCAGCCTTGCCTGCCAGGCAGTTAGGAGAGGTCCAGACCAGGGCACCTGGCTGCACATTAGCATCTCCCGGGCAGTTTAAGAAACTGGGCGGGGGGGGGGGGGGGGGCGCAGAAACGACATGCCTGTAACCCTCTACAAAACCACTGATCTAACGTAGGCCAGGTTGAGAACCATAGTGCAGGAAAATCCCATCTGATGAGGCGAGGAGGGAGGACAGGCAAATCTCCTGGCTGCCAGCCCACCAGCCTTTCCTATTCTTACACTCAATGGGGGAAGGGGTATCTTCATGGCCCTCCCCCACATCCACGCTATTCCACCCGAGCGGTTGGTCAGTTCCCGGAAGTTTTGTAAAGGGCGCATGCCTTCCTCAGGAAGGAATGGTCCACGAGGGAAGGGTACCCAGTACTAACAATTCTGTTTTGCCCCCCTCCCCTCCCTCCTTCTCTACCAGCTTCACACTGCCCCTGCAGGGACAAGTCAAGAACACAGAGCGGCTCTACAGGAAAGGATTTAGCCCGAGGGAGAAATGAAAGCAATCCAGACTTTGAGTAAATACATTTTATATGGAACAAGATAATAAAATAGCGTGCATTTTATTTAAAACCAACCAAGCGCTGATAAAAATATATCTCACTGCAGCGGTGATTCCACATCAAACCTTAACAGTTAAGAACTGGGAGTTTAATTCATTCTTCACATCACGTGCTGGGCCTGGCGGAGGACACCCACCTCCCCCGGAACCTCAGAGAGGAAGAATGAGAGCCCTGGAGGAGAGGGCTCGGGTGGCAGGCTCACGCTGTCCCGCTCAGAGCTTGTGAAGGGAAGGGGCCCCGATGTGCGGCTCTAGTGTGTCTGCTCCGCACGCCTCCGGGGCCACCAGGGTGGACCCTGATCAGCAAGTCCTTAGTGGCAGGAGTGGAGGGAGAGGGAGGGGTGGAGAACCGTCTGGAGCTGTGCAGACAGGTGAGTCCTCCTCTCTCCTCCAGTGTCTCTGGAATCCCCACAGGGGATCTGATGGCCACCGCAGGGTCCAACTTGCAGGCACAAGCCTATGAAGCAGTCACCTTTTGCTTTGGCTGAAGGGGAATCAAGAATCTGAGAGGGAAAACTCTCTTCTTGACACAGAGCAGCCACAGTGCACTTTCCTACATACAGTACAGTGGCGGGCAGGCAAAGGGCCCTGCTGGCTCGGATTAAGGCACTTAGAACAGACTCCATGTACATCCTTGCTCCCAGCCCCGGGTGGGAACTTCCCCCTTGCCTTCCCCTCAGGTCCCACATGCCCTGCCTCTTCCCCAGAGCTAGGCAATGAAGAGCATGCCTGGAGGGATTGTGGTTTGGGTGGAGCGCAGGGCCGGAAGGAGACACACGAGGAAGGAAGCCTGGGGACTTGGCAAAGGAGGAGCTAGGAGAGCATCGGGAGGAAGGCAAGGCAGCAGCGGAGGGGAGCCAGCTGAGTCACAGGAGACCAGGGGCAGTGATGTTCACTGAGAGCAGATGCACAAGCCACGGGGAGGCCGTTCCAACCTGCCCCGACTGAGGCAGGCTGGGAGCAGCAAAAGGGTTAAGAGACAGACAGAGAACCCAATCCCAGACAGAGAACCTCAGAAGGCAGGGCCCCCGGGGACCCGCATGGGGAATGGTCTTCCTCTTTCTCAGCCGGGGGTGGGGGGTCCGGTGAAGACAGGAAGGTTCTGACAGTTCAGAGACGGGGCAGGAAAGGGGCAGGGTACTGGAAGGAGGGCTGTGCGATCCAGAAGCAGTGCAGCTCTTTGGTACGACGAGGACGACGCAGGCAGCCTTGTCCTGGCGCCCCCTCACTCCTCCTCCACACCCCGGGGCCCCTTGGCCGCCCGCCTCTGTCGCCAGCGCAGCTCTTCCACCTGGCGCTCCAGGCCTCGAACCTTGGCCTCCAGTTGGGCCCCTGAGGCCCGGGTGCCAGTGAGCCGGCTCAGCAAGGCGTAGAGGGTCAGCAAGGCCAGGAGGAGCAAGGCCCGGGTGGAAGGGTCGGGCACTGACCTCACCAGGGCCACAAAGCCGGCCAGGAAGAGGACAAGCTTCAGGCCCCACAGGATCCGCCCCAGCAAGGCCAACACCAAGCCAAGGAGCAGGGACAGAAGCCAATAGACAACTAGGGCCCCTGCTCCCCACAGCAGGAAGGTCTGGACCTGGCTGGGGCTGAGCTTCAGGCCCTGGGTGAGGTGATCTCCTGGAAGAGGGAGAACCACAGAATCAGCCAATCTGGAGTGGTGAGGGCATGGGGTGGGGGGAGAACCAAAAAAGGAGCTAAAACTCCCTGCAAAGGAAAAATCCTTCCCCACAGGGTCACAAAGGTAGGAGCTTGAATGTCAGTCAGCTCCTGTTCCTGCTGGCTGGGGGCAGATTACTTCCCTCGCCTGAAACCCAGTTCATCTGCAAAATGGGAGTGATGCTCTGGGCCGCGGGTAACAATTAAATGAGATACTATGGCTTAGCCAGACAGGAAGCAAACACCTGGTAAGTAGGGGCAACCGTTAGCCTGCTCTTATGTTTGCCTCTGGCGACACCTGGCAGGGGTTAAGCACCTGGGGAAAAGTCTGCGCCCTGAAAAGATAAGCTCCCACAAATAGAAGGTGACAGGCTAAGCTCCAGGGGACCGAACCAGTACTCTGCCACTCACCATCTAGCCCCAAGGCATTCAGCAGCTGCGCAGCAATCCCAGACAGCGCGAAGAAGGCCACCGAGATGGCTGATGAGATGGCCCACATCACCTGAGACAAGGTCTGTGGAAAGAGCAGGGCAAGGAGAGAAGCTTATAATCAATCATGCCCTTCTCCTTTAAGCCTCCAACCACTGTGCAGGCAAGGCCAGGAGGGAACGTCCCTCACCTCCTTCTCAGCCAGAGGTTTGCGAACCAAGCCTGGACAGTAGGCCGTGTCTCCTTCCAAAACTGGAACTCAGGACATCTGGGCCCTAATTCAACCGATTTGCTAGAAGATTTTGGTGATGGTAGTAGGTGAATGTGTGTGTGTAGGGGGGGGGGGGGGGGGGGTGGTCATCAAATCTCTATAGTTGTCACCCTGTAGAACTGGGGTCCTCCCACGGAATCATGAAGTCGTGGAAGCAACATCTGTGAAGGGCTAGGATGCTTCAACGAAGGAGGAGTCCCTCAGGTCTACTAGATTATGGATTTTATAAATGATCATCTCAAGTGTTTAGAATGACCTATCAAAAGCATGTGATGCCATACCTAGGATGTCATTAGCTGGCAAAGACAGCTCTGTCTTAAGCCCCTGAGTCAGGCCTACCTCTACCTCTAGAGGGGAAGGAATTTTCAGGTCTTGACATTTTGCCAATTTAAGATTTTAGGTCAGATTTAGACCAAAGTCAGACTCTGTCGTCATCCAGTGACATGGGTTTATAAGGACTGGCCCGTTTCCTAGTCTTTCTGACAAGAGAGGGCAGGAATAAGGGAAATTTCAGGAGAGCTACAGGCCCTAGGGTAGGAATCGAACAACGGGAGTGCGAAAAAGCGGGAACTCTCTGGCTGCATCTTGTACAATGTGGGGCTCTCTGCAGCAGGGATTATGACACAGAGAGGATGTGGACCCAAGACGGGGTGGCCATGAACGTCTCCTCCTTTGTCTTTCTTCGGTGTGTGTAGTCACAGCAGGAAGCACCTTCCTTACCTCTGAAACCAGGTGAATGGTCTCTGGCCCGAGCCAGGCCTCCAGCGTTCCCCGCACAGATCGACCTATCTGGCTCAAGAGGTCAACCGGGGCCTCCCTCTTCTGCTGGCCTGGTGGCACGAAGTCTGCGTGGGACTGGGATGATGCCGAGTGGAGGAGGATGAGGGCCACCAGGACCGTCAGGATGACTTTGAACACATGCTTGCCCCGCGGTGGGCCTGCCATGGCTGGGTCTGTTGGGAGAGCAGCACAGGGTGAGCGGAGCGCCAGAACGGGCACGGACACCCCCCGAATGCCCTCCTCTACCCCCACCCTGTTAGCCAAGAAAGGCAGAAGTGGGCCTTTTAACCTCAGCTGAGCACGACCTTTTGATTCACCGGTTCCTCTTTCACATTCTTCACCACTTGCACGTTCGTTCGTTAACCGGCAAGTAGTCTCCAACGCCTCAGGGGAGACTAGATCTAGGATTGTTCCAGTTCTAAAAATCTGAAGGCCCGTCTCTAGGTCTTAGGTGTTACGGGCATAAAACAAATATAAGGCTTTGTCCCCAGGGAGGTTATCATCTACTTAAGATCAAGCAGACATAAAAAACAACTTAGGAAATATAGCACATAAATAAGATTCCTGCCGTGTAAAGATGTAAAGAGAAGTGCTCAGGTATGTGCTCAAGCAAGAGGAAACTGCATATATGCCTCCTGCCCTGCAGGACCATCACAGGAGGTGGTATTAACCTCCTACTGGTAACAGATGAGAAGAAACAGACTCAGGGGTTAGGCACTGCCCCAGGTCACTGGGCTAAGTAGAAAGGTCAGGGTTTGAAGCCAGGCTTCTGCTTCCAAATCGCACACTTATTTGGGAGAGAAGTGGATCTCAACTGTGGCTGCTCTTTGGAGCCACCGTGGAGCTTCACAAACTATTGATGCCTCTGTCCCAAGTTCAGACTTTCTGGTGTCACTGTCTGGGAGTGGTTTAGGCTTGAACCTGCAAAAGCTCCCCGGGTAATTTCGCTGTGCCGAGCTGAGACCCACTGACACAGAATGACCTCAATCAACTCCCCAGCCCCCAATGTAGGCAAAGGGTTAGAGCACAGCCTTTAGGGAAAGATATTATTAATAAAAAGCTAACCATGTGCCCCCTATCTCATACAATCGCCACCATCAGGTAGGCATTGTTACTGTTCTCCATTTTACTGAAGAGGAAACTGAGGTAGGATAAGCAATAAGGGGGGGGGGGGGGAGCCAGGATTTGAACCCAGGTGCGTCCGATATCAGACCCCTCACACATACTGCCCTGCCGTATCATCTCTGAAGTCAGTTTCAAAAGTGATTTAGGGGGCGCCTGGATGGCTCAGACAGTTAAGCGTCTCTTGATTTCGGCTCAGGTCATGATCTCACAGTCGTGAGATAGATCCCGAGTTGGGCTCCGTGCTGGGCATGGAGCCTGCTTAAGATTCTCTCTCTCCCTCTCCCTCTGCCTCTCCCCTGCTCACTCAAGAGTACTCGCTCGCTCACTCAAAAAAAAAAAAAAAAAAAAAAGGGATTTGGAGAGTCACACAATAGATTATTCACGGGCTAAAATAAACTTGGCATCTAGCAATCATCTCCGTGAATGACTCCTGGTGACAATTCACTTACCCACTTTGTGTTTTGTACTCTGAGCTCATCTGTAATATGATGCCGCAGGCAAGTTAAGACCCAACAAGCACAGATTCATTGAAGCAGGTGTGGACCAGCCAAAAAAAATGTTTGCAAGTTTGCTATTTACCACCGTGCTTGAGAAATGTCAAACAGCACCAGCAAATCCCCTGTTCTCTCCCAGGGTCAGAAATGAACCTGTAGCTCCAGGGAGTTTCTGTGATTCAGACCCAATGATCAGAGGCTAAGCCATGCCCCTGATGTAGGAGCAGCCAGGCGTTTGAAGTTTTTGCAGGTTACCAGATCACTCTGGGAGTTACCCAGAAATCAGAGCCATCAGGGTGGAGAGGGATTCTTACTTTGTAGAAAGGAGAAGAGTCCAAGAAAGAGTTATAAAAATATCCTATCCGGGGCACTTTCTGGCCCAGAAACACCTGCCCTGAGTTCCTCTTGAGGTCTGTGGAATCAAGCAGGGCTGCAAAAACATGCATTCATGTGGAGCGGCCTCAGGCTGGGAAGGCTTTTACTCTTCTCCCCTCTTTGGCAGAAATCAAGAACCAGATGGTTCCTGCCTGCCAGTGGTCAGACAGGAGGGAAGCACAGGTCAGTTCCTAAGCTATCTGGGTCATAACCACACTGGGGACTTAAAGAGCAGGGTTGCTATCTTAGGTTGGATCCTATATCCAAGGACCTCCACCAGGAGGGATCAGATGTCGTCTCCTCGGTTCTAGAAGGTCAGGGTGATGTGAGCTGCTCCCCCCATGGCGGCCTCCTGCATTCTGTGCCAGCCTCGACTTTCAAGCAGACATCTGCCTCAGTCAACAGGAGCTGGGGGACCTTGGAATAAACCCTCCACAGTGAGGCCATCACTGGCTCCCCAGCTGACCTTCTGAAGTGCACCAGAAA